ACCAAACCGGAATGGACATAGTTTTCAGCCTCGTAGCTGAATCATCACTGTTTGATTGGACTCCTTTGAGAAGCCGCCTGTGGGCAGCCTATCTGAGAACAGCAACTTGAGATAGGATATGAAGTAATGCTAGATGCTGGAAATTTGTTGCCTACGCCCCAACAGATGACAGCCTTGATTCTGACAAAGATGTCTTTAACAACTGGCCAAATAAAAGTATACCTGTTTGGGTCGTGAATGCAGCACCTGATTGACCGGACACCTCAGAAGCAGAGTTCTGTGGGATGTTTGGGTTATAGTACCAAAATACACACAAAGGTCGTCAGTGCCCCCAACGCTAGATGGCTGAGACGACAGGGAACAACTTGGTGTCCGGAAGGATTCCTGCTGGCATTGCGTAAACTTTATGAGCTAGAATAGAACCCGGTGTATTAAGAAATGAAGGGTACAGGATTGTTTGATAATCCGCGGGAATTCCAACGAACCTATCCGGTAGGGAGACACATAGGGGCAACGTTGACACTTACACTAACAAGCCGGCTGGTCCTTCAGGTGGGCCACCGACTGGAGTAGTTCACTTGGTCCTTTACTTTTGAACATCTCCTCGCACTAATGGTTGTTACATTGCATTTTATCTGAACAAACCAACGGTCTTTTCGTCACTGTTTCGTACGCACAAAGTAATTGAATGAAATTTAGACCGATCGCGTTGCCCCGAGTTCTAGTTGTGAAACGGGCAGAGCAATATCAAATGCGTGAGAAGAAGGTGGAAGGGAATAATGATATTTAACGAGAGAGTGTGTACCGACGAAGCAAAGGGTGAACACAGGGATGCACACTAGAATTCATAACGAGATTCATTTATCACGCAAGGCATGAGTTTAGGTAGACGAAGGTGTGTACTAACACCTCGCTGTGGCATGAACGTCGCGCGGATGTAGTTAAGACGGAACACTCCACCTTCCCGTTACAGTGGTGTAGGTTAAAACGTGACCAGGTTGCTTAGGGAAACGCATGGGAGCTGTAGTTGAAAACCAATCCCATCTCTCGAAGGTCTAAGCGCCGGTGACTCAGAATTGCTTGTGCCCTTGCTGTCTAAGGATGATAACGAAACGCAACAGAAAAAATGACTCATATACTCGAGAAGTTACGCAAAGGGTAAAATATCAAAGTTAGAGAGGGTGGATTGATCATAATGGCAATATTCAAGAATGGTGTGTGTCTGTGTGTATAACCTCTTTATTATTATTATTCATGTTATTATTAGTCTCTATTCTCGTCCGTCGCCTTTTGTGGAACGGGGCTCTTGGGTGAAAGGACTGGTATATTTTCAGCTGAAAAAGTGTCAGCAGCAAGCTAGTACGTAGTACCGACGCTTCGCTGCTGCGCAACCACCAGCAGTCAGGCATGAGCTAAGGACACTACGAGGGTCGCACGGTCCCCTATGCAGGCTCGAACCCGCGACCTCGGGACTACAAGCCAGGCCTCTGATCCTTAATGCCAAGAGTGGAACTGAAGGGAAATGTATCAGCCACATTTCCGCTGTGTGCGTTCCTCGAGTGCAATGGCGCGTCTGACCCAGTCGATCGTTCCATTCTTTTTGATACACTTACTCAGAGAGACGTTTCAGGTCGTATCAGGGTTTACAACGAGTCATCAAGTAGCCTTCTGAAGAAGCATGGAGTCTGTCAGGATTGTTCCATCTCCAAGTTTAAACACAGTGTTGGCACAGTAGCCACCACTGAATGCTCTTGCACGGGGAGAAAGCGGCAAAGCTAGATTGCGCAGACGACACCGACGTGTCACATATGAACTAGTGTTGAGTGGTTCTATCCCTTGGTATGCGATTTGCAACTCCTAAGGGTAGAGTGGTGTTGCAAGAGTACCAACCGCTTGCCATCCGGTCGACACCTGACAATGAGAAACGGCAGTCAGTTGATCAATACATTTTGCTTGGTAACCGTAATAAGCAAGACAACCACGCGACTGTTGAATTTCGTTCACGCGTTGCAAGAATTGTTGTTGTGAATCAGCAACAGCAATAAAAACAAAATAGGATGATCCTAGGTTTCAAAAGCAGTAGGCAAAGGAACACGGTGAAAACCGTTTTTCGCTAGGGGCGTAAACTTCGATCTCGCAGGCTGAGGGTCTCAATCGTCTTCGGATCCTTATTTATTGTAGCCTGCATGCATCGCTAGGGTCCAACAGCACAATAGTGTCCACAACGATGACGTACGCAGACGAGGATCAGCGTAAGTTTTCAGATCAGCAAGCAAAGCTGAACAGGTTAATTCAGTTCGGGAACATGGTAGTTTCCTAGACAAGAGTTTCGTTTTGCTTGTCCGACATTAGATAGCGTAAGCCCCGATGGCAATCGTCGACTTAATAATAGCAAAGACAAGTGAAGTTCATGACCACTAGATTGGGCGCCAACGGTCGTCTAGGTTGGGTTCAACGTGGTCCAATCCTTACTTGACTAGAGATGTTATAGGATGTGGCGTACAAACGGAACCAGCGGCGTGTTCTTCTTTTCATCTTCTGGCTGTGGCTGTTCTAAAGTACCGTAATGAGTTATATTTGTCGCAAGATTGATTACGAAGCAGAGTAGTGGAGTCCCCAGTGAAGCACTCTCTCCGAGGTCGCCACCTGCACGCATGACCGGTAGGTACCTGTGATCTTGAAGGACTCGTGGTGGGCTTAGATACAATAGTAAGCTTCTCTCCGTTCTTACCCTCATTACTTATTGGCAAAGGAACACCGGTATGAAGTCCAAAGCGCTGGTGTAGTTTGCTTTGAATATGACAATCATCACAAGTCCGATGGGGCAATGGATAGTGACCACGTCATTTTGTGGTGTAAGGACAGTGAGCACTTTCACCGAAGCCGCTGGGTTCTCCACGCAGACGCAACTTTGAGAGGTAGTGATCCGCAGCATAAACTCACAGGGAGGAAAATTTGTGCAATGCAAAAACTGGTGGCATAACCGGAGAATAAGGTATCTGTGACAGCGTAAATTGCGTACGTTTGGCAAAGAAGCAATATGAAAGTCGGAGTCCAGGAACTTTGGACGACAAGTTAGCGAAGATTAGGCGACTGATAAGAATGTGATAAGAAAAAGTCGATCAAATGAATAGTCGCAATAAGCGGATTTCAAGTATTTTATAAAAGGTAAGTGATTAATTTTGTAGGAAGGAAAAGAAAGCGAAAACCAGAGGGAATGTGGTGGCCAGAAGCAGTTGGCATCACTGCAGAAAAAACGACAATGGCCATAGAATGCAGAGAATCAAGAGGTAGGAAGTTCCACTCCAACCAGGGGACATTAGTGCCCAACACGTGCGTAACATAAGCTCCGAAAACTCACATGAGCAGTAAAGTCGATGCAATCGATTAAGACAGCGTCACACACTCGAGAGTGCGGTGATCACCGGCTCGAAAAGGGCAAAATGAAACAGTAAATTCGATGGATAAATCAAAGGTGTTTTGTTCCGTTCCCAGAAGTATGTATGTGAAGATAGATGGAACGGAAAGTCCGGACAAAATAGGGACATTAGAACAAAGCGGAAGAAAGTTGAAGATAATTGGGTTAGCAGGGCGGAAAATGAAAAGCAGGAAGAGAATTGGGAGTGAAACGACTAGTGGTAATAATACATCATCTAGAAATTCTATGTGGGCAGTAGCGGACGGATACAGAGTTTTAATCGAATTCAAATGAACCACACTTGGTAAGTAAAGTTTGACTGGCAATGAGACAAAAGAAAGGCAGATTGAACAAAAAAACCATGCTCCTGAAGATAGAAAGGACGGAATGAGAGAAATAAAAGGGTTATTGAAAAAACCAAGTACTCATATGTGTTGAAGGCGGACAGTAGGAAAAGTGATTAAAAATAGGCAATATCTGAATAAAAAGGTAAAAACCACAACCCAAGTGAATCGTACTACAAATAACCTGCTCCCTAAACGAACACGGTAAAATATCCCGGAGTGAGCCAGAGAAATATTCGAGACTATGGCACGTGGGTGCAAACGACGAGTAATCTCGACGTGCTCCGTGGAGGTGAGTGTTAAACTTTAGATGGATAAGCTTGCCAATCACTAAAGCATTTTACAGATGAACGTATGCCGTGATCTCTAAACCAGCGTGATTAATCAATCAACTGAAGAGTAGTAATTCGTCGTTAATGGCTCGCACGCGCGATCTTCCAAGCGATGTTAGCTTGTGTGCAGTAATCTGTTGGGTTGGGTTGAGACGAATTTTGCTCACAAGAGAACGGTATAGGCAATTGCGGGCAGTAAGCGGGAGAGATTCCATTACTTGACCCGTAAATCCCTGTGGCCTTTGTGAAACGCACTGTACACCAAATGAGGCTGATATTACAGGGGGAAGGGATCGATATAGCACCTGAATTCTTATTGGACAGTGAGTGTCTAAGAATAGCGAGTAAAAAGAGCGCACTTTTGTACAAAAACTAGCGTACACAAAGGTGCACATCGGTTAGTAGTCAGAATATGAAAATGCTTCAGCCACGGAAGGATTGGCTCGAAGGAATTCGTAAGATGATTGCAGCATGTTCAATTTGGTTCAGGAGAACAAAAGATCCAAATCACAATCAACGACGCGCGTTGTGATAAGTAAAAAGAGGAGCAACACTGTAATGACTGAGGCGATGGCATACGCATCATTCATAAGTCCAAACAAGGTCGAGAACCTGATCTTGTTGCATCGCCGTCTAGCTATCCGTTCGGTTTACTCGGCTAACAATGGATGACGTTGTAAGTGCCCGAAATTCTTCGGTCTCTGGTTCGTAAGAATCAAGGTAACCAAACACCACTTTGCAATATTAAAAGATACCTAGACGCGAGTGAGGTAAAAGCAAAACCTTCACAAATATCGAGGAGTTCGAAAAATTTCACTATTTTTCTCAAAAGCTACATGCAACATAGCTCAGCGGGGTCGTCTACCTTGTGAAATTCGGAAAAGCTAAGCCAGTGCGACGAAGGAACAGACGGAAATCCCAGTCGGATACGTAAACCATGTCTGTCGCAAATTCATCAAGTCGTAACAAGAAATACAATTCGGAGTCACTTCATTTATTACCGTTACCGGGGAAAGGAGTGAGAATGTGACTGTAATCCTGAGGCGGGACAACACCGGCCACAATCTGTTGCGGAGTCGGAAAAAGAATGAGACCGCGTAGCAATGTAGAAAGGGTGGGTGGGGAGCTAACTACAATATCACTCGGCAACTGACTGTTGCAGCTGTTTCGGCATTTCTCGTACAGCACCATTTGCCTCGTTTGGGAGGTGTTCATTGCGATATTTACGCCAAGTGTATGCCTCTGTTTTGGCTTGTTGTGTATCCCAGTGTTTTCTGAAAGCGTATTTATAATATGGGACGTAGTAGGAGAGTCTGGGTAGGTCGCTGAATTTGATCTATATAAAATAAAGTGGATGAGAAGAACGGTTTCAGCCAAAGGTTAACATATAAAACAAATACGGACCTATGTAATAAAAATAAGCATAACACAACGAAATAAGCACTCTTCACAGTGATCAGTGTGTGTTCCCCAGTGCACTTGGGGCAAAACAATTTCTGTGAAACAGAATTAGGGAACACAACGTGAACAGCTCACATTGACGCGCAGGTGACGCGGCCAAATGGTGGGTTGAACGGGCGCAGTGCCAAACAAGCAAAAAGGAACGAAGGACACAGACTCCCGAGCAGAGTGGACGCGCACTGGGGGACTATGATTAACTACGACCAAGCGAACACTCGGCAGAGAATATGTAAATATAGACAGTCTCGATGTGAACCAAAGGTGCTAGCGCGCTTTTGTTGTCAAAAGCTCACATACTATCTACTGGAGTCAGAAAAAGAGTGTAGGGTGACGCATTGGGTCCAGCTGACTTATATGAGAACAAAATAAAAATTAGAATTAATAACGCGAACGACACTGACAGAATATACCGCAAAGTACTGTGAATACATTGGGTGCTCAAACGCATACCTGGTCTAAAGGTTAGCGCGTCTGTAATCCGATTAACGAACGTGAGGTGCAGAAGATCAAAAGAACTCAAGCTGTCATTACAAGACTCACAGTTCAGTTTACGAGGTCTGTTGCATTAAGGCCTGTGCGAGAGACAATGACTGTACACACTGTTCTATCGTCAGACGCGGGCATACCCAATTAAGATGACATACCGTACTTAACGTCTCGGTGATGAGACCGCTGCTCCATCTACACACACAATGCATCACACGCGGACACCAGGACAACTTGAAGTACCTGGCCTGAAGCGACTTACCTATCCAGGTGTTTAGGAGAGTGGTCAATGCTTGCAACGGTCTGCCAGAGCACACATATTAGGAGCAAACGCAGCGTAGAAAAACAAGACATTCCGGAATCAAGATTTCGCAGCAAAGAATGGTTACCCGTAGACAATGACACCTTACAATTGTGAGCCATGTGTGGGTCATAGGTTTAACGAGATCAGACGAAAGCAGGCAGAACGAATGCCATACTGATAAGTGTCATGTAATTTTCCAAAAAACCTTAACCACAATTTGAGGAGATTGTACCTACATAACTTTTACTTGTTACAACAATACAGTATTCATATGAAGTGGTTAAAAGTCAAAAATAGAAGCACAAATGGAAGCGCTACTGAACTAGTGACTGTGCCATACCCGATAGGGTACAGGACCAATGAGGTGGCCTATCGCGGAACCCAGATACAAGAAGATGTGCATCACTTCAATCGGGTCAAACTTACATTTTGCAAACCTCAGTTACCACTATTAAATGGTAATGGGAATCACGTCACTGTAAGAATAATAATTTACCGGAATTATGGAGAAAGAGAGGAAATCAAACAAATGGGGTAGAAATGTAGCGGGAATGAAACTGCTTGATAGAGGTATTCTTTGCGTCAATTGTTGGAGCACTGCCATGTTTACTGCCGACCCCCCGTTGTCGTGTTCCTCGACATCAAAGGTGCTTTGGATTCGCTGGATGTGCCTTTTGGGACTGTCTGCTGAGAAAAGGAGTGCTCGATAAGTATGTAAACCTTATCAAAGCGCTGTACGCGCATAGTTCGGGCAGAGTGAGGGTTCATAGCAGACTGTCGCCGCCCTTCAGTAGTACCAGCGGTGTGAGACAAGGCTGCCCACTGTCACCTTTCCTCTTCAACTTCGCTATTGATGAAGTCGGCCGGTGGCCGAGTGGTCGGCACGTTTGCTTTCCAACCATAAGGTCGCCGGTTCGAATCCGTGTAGGGGTGGGCGTCCTCGCGGTATACTTAGCCCGCGCGCGACTAGTGGTGGTCGCGCGGCAGCGAAGCGTCGTTACGGCGTATAAGCTGACACATTTCATTTTTCATTTCAAGTCATGGAAAAAAGCGTTCGTTGGACACGACCTAGAAGGGTGAAGCTACTGGTAAGCAACTTCTTGACTTGGAGTATGCGGACGACATTGCCCTCATATGTGACAGCGCTCAAACGTGTCAGGTTGCAATGGACCGATTAGCAGGGCTGTCAATCGTTTTGGACTATGCTTTGCTCCATCGAAATGCAAAGTACTTCTCCAAGATTGGCAGGGACCCAACCCTGTGCTGATCCTTGGTGGTGATCAGGTAGAAGTCGGTCAGCTATGGTAGCACCCGTGGGATCGAAGCTGAGATTACGAAACCTCGAGGTGCTTTTGAAAATCACCGCCACCTGTGGCGAAGACACCACATCACTCTCGCCCTAAAGGGCAGAGTTTATAATGCAGCCGTCTGCTGAACCCTCTTATACGGTTGTAAAACCTGGCCCATCAGGTCGACAGACATAAAGAGGCTAGCCACGTTCGATCACCACAACCTCCGCAGCTTAGCTCATGTCTGATAGGAGCACCGCGTGAGCAATACGCGTGTTCGGTGTCCCGTATTTTGTGCAGGAAGAGCTAGTGCACCACTCAGCACCCTTATATCACGCACCATGCTCCGATGGCTTGGCGACATGTTGCGCATGCTAACACACCGACTTCCGCGACGTGCATTGCTTGCAAGCCGGGGGTGCGGTTGGAAGAGGAGAGGCCAAGCGGTGACTTGGTCGAGAGAGATGAAAACCCTTACTTCGAAGTTGGCGTCGGTTGGTGCATCCCGACTGTCTGGTTGGGGTCCTAAGGACGATGAATACGTCTGGTTGGACACACTTTCTGATATCGTTAGGAGCCGGCCCCAATGGCTTTTGTGTTGTGAGTTCCTTTGTCCATCCAACTCTTGCTTAGCCTCCCCCTCCATTAGGCTGTTAGCTCTCCGGAACGATGTCCATCCGTTACTGGGGACTCAGCCGGCGTGTCACCGTTGTATTTTTATTCTTGTCATTTGTATTGTGACACAATTGCTGAGGTGTTTTCCACCTGCAGCTAACGTGTATAATGATGATGACGACGACAGAAGTGTTCGACCAGACACAAGTCCGTCGATTGCTTGGGGGTCACGGAGTGTGAAAGAGGCCGTCTAATCGCTGACGTAACTGCAGCCGTGAGACCAGTCCAGTTCAGTTGACTAGCAATGATTCAAGTGCAGTGAATACAGCTTCCGCGGTAATAGAAGCCAAAATGGGCATGAAAAATGTGGCAAGACGCAAAGCAAGAAGACTACAGTAAGTAGTTGAGATTTCTCATTCGGTTTCTGCACGTCTGCGTCCCACCTCAGCTGGTAGCTAGTTTGAGGAATAATAAATCTACGCAACGGCATTGATCAACAATATTGCTAGGAAGGAATTAAAATGTCACATGAACACTAATCAAATTAATCAAATGACCAAGTAACCCAATGGTTTTTAGCAGAGGAGCCTAGACACCTCAGGGACATTGAAGTCTTTCATGAGACATACATCTACCTAACTCTTGGTTGGAGCGGAAGTAAACTGCTAACATTGGTAGATAATCTAACTGGTGGTCTAGGAGCTGAAGATTTCCGGGTCGAGAAATGAAAAGTTGGTGGATTTTGCGTTACTTGTATTCGTCTTGGTAGCTGATCTTGCGAGACAATTTCGCATCAATTCGCGGATTTCTGATTCTGACTTGGAATGAGAGCAAGTAATGAAGGAGAACAATCGCATAGAAAGGGGAAGATCTAACAACCGTACATCGACGTAGCCGGTTAGCAGGTATACGAAGGACATAAAAGACCGAGGTAGATGACTCAAATCCTACAGATACCATAGTGAGAGGTCAGAGCGTTGGTTGCTAGATACCACATCATTAAGAGCTTGGGTTTCTTATCGAATACAACTGGCTTTGAGAAGATACAGTGCTCAAAATAAACAATCTCACAATGTTCATAGCAAGCAACGGCGTTGCTTAATCCCCAAATTAGCACTAGGTGAGCTGCGGAGACGAGCATCTTCCATCTAGCTAATAAATGAATGATTTCCGGAGGAAGCATAACGGACAAGCCACATTCACAGTGTGCAATATAAGAGACAGATACACATGTAGGTAACCAGTTAACAGTCGATCATCGACTAAGAGGAACTAGGTGGCCAACGAACGTTTGTAAAACGTCACGGCGCAAGTGCAGCAACGAAGAGTTCATTGAACATGAACCGGAGGAAGGGATCAACGCTCACTCCGTGGCCCCATCAATCGTTTATACGCCAATTTCGTGTGTGTGTGTGTGTAGAGGAGAGCGGTGAATTTCGTTCAAATACCATGGCGAAAACCTCCACGCCATGCAGAATGGACCAACCGAAGACAACGATGGCCTCATTGCAGACAATCTGTCCAGATACACTCACCTTCATGAAATCGAAAGCGGTTGCCACATTTTTGCTGAAAGTGTCTAACATGGGCAATCGGCCATACCGTTGGCTGAAGTGGGTCAGGAGTGTGAAACGGGCGTCCATCCGTTCACCAGTTCTGATAGCAGAGCTAAGGGTGCTGATGGGACACAAAAGAAGAGCATATTAAGTGACTGTTCTGACATGTGAAGGGAGGAAAAATAATGCGAAAATGAGTAGACATAGAAATCGATTGAAATAACCACCCACTCAGAGGAGCGCCGATTCAGAGTAGAACACCAAAGTAACCCATAGGTAAAGGACAGATGGACCACTAGCGTTCTAGTACTTAAGCAGCAAGTTCAACTAAGCAACAAACAATGAAGAGTTACAATGCACTTAGATTGACTACGTTGCTTCTCTTTGGGGTGTTCGAGACATCAATTTGCACGATGTTGTGATAAATGATTGTTACTAAAGGAGGATACATTTTCGAAGGGAATATGCGATCGATATCTGGTGACATTTGAAACAGAACCCGCAACTGACGAACAACCTAGTTGCAAGGACAGTTTTGAAGAAAACTAGTACATATTGATCGGACTAAGTTCACTAGACCATGTATCACCCATCTGAGAAAGCTATTTATTATTATTATCATTATTATTATCGGTGTCAGTCAAGTGCAGGAAGGACAAAAGTGTGCGTCCGCTACTAAGTTGTTGAACTGTTTTTCCAGTGAACAGCCGGTTGAAAAGCAACATGTCCGTTGATCGAAGGACATGCATCTGCCACAAACGAAATATGGTGCCAGAGATGTGCGCAAAACGATATTCTAATCCAATTTTGGGCTGTCGACACTGAAAATGACTAGGAGTCTAAATGTCATTAGTTATTGCAATAAATACAATGCAGGAAGCAGTGGGAAAAAGTAAACGGAACGGAACATGAAGAGCTAGATACAGGAAACAAAATGTCGGAGCGTCAATAATTCCACGAAGGCGTCATGTTACATGAGGTGTTGAATCACTGATGAGGGCCATCTCGCGACCCCCTTCCACGAAGACGACGCGAATCAGCCTAATCGATTCGGTTGATCAGTTTCCCCCATGTTCTACGCCAGGTCATCGAATGGCCTCCTCGCGACAGCGCATAGTACAGGCCGGGGAAGGCGAATACAGTCACCCGGATAACACGATTTAATCAAAGTTGTAGGTTGTCCAGAAATCAATCGAATTTATTTTGCATCCCATTCCGGATTTTTCTGGAAGCTTCTTTGATATGATTGTATCTGGGGTCACACTGGAGCAATAATCTAACGTTGTGCATTTATTCTACATTTTAGCAATGAATGCGGTATTGCCTCATGATCAACATGCTGTTCGCGGATATTTATTGTATGAGTACCTACAAGGGCGCAAAGCAATGGAGGCTTGTCGAAACATGCGTGGCGTACTACGCACGGATGCTCCGAGTTACCGAGAGTGGTATTTTGGTTCCGCCGATTCGAAGTACGCAACTATGATGTGGCTAACATCGGAGGTCAAGGATGTAAGCCGGTGGACATTGACAGCAGCATGCAGGACATTCTAAGGGAAAATTCGAGTCAAAGTGTGCGTGAAGTCTCGTCACACTTTGGCCTTCTAAAAACCACCGTTCATCGCCATCTGCCCCAATCCGGAATGCTCCCAAAGCTCGGACAACTTGTACCACACGAATTGACTGATGAGCAGATTTTAAACCGTTGTGTCATTACACTTTCATTGCTCACCCGAGGACGCAATCATCGATGGTTGAACGATATCGTTGCTGGAGACGAGAGGTGGGCGATCCATGTCAACCATAGCAGGAAGCGTCAGTGGATCGCAGCAGCTGAAAGGCCAGTACAAGTCCCGAAAGACGAACTGCACCGCAAAAAAGTGCTGCTGTCAGTGTGGTGGGATCGCCGCGGCGTCATCTATTGGGAATTGTTACCTGACCACTCCACTGTTACTGCCGATGTCTACTGTCAACAACTGCAAAAGATAGTCGACGAACAGTAAAAAAGCGTCCAAAAGCGACCCGAATGATTCTCCTGCATGACGAAGGACATCCTCATGTGGCAAAGAGAACGCGTCTCAAAATTCAGCAGCTCAGTATGGAAACTTTTATGCATAAAGCATATAGCGCAGATCTTGCTCCTACTGATTATCACCTTTTCCGCTCGCTGCAAAATCACATCAAGGACAAGAGATTCCATGACCGCAACCATATCGAAACATACTTTGCCCAATACTTTGATAGCCAGCCCAGCTCGTTCTAAGAGAGAGGCATCGAGGAGTTGCCTGAGCGTTAGCAGTACGTCGTCGATAACAACGCAAGTTACGTTGATTAAATAATGTTGCTCGTTTGAAATAAATATTGATTGAAAAAGTGTGCTAAAAAATTCGATTGATTTCTGGACAACCCAATAGAAACGCGGTGCAAGTCAAGTAGGCAATGGATTGCACCGCCAGCGGATATATTTCCAACACCCTGAAGTTCCCACTATAGATGTGAGCAGTGCTCCGAAAGCACCGGAGATCGAAGAGACCAATGTTCGGCGCGAAAAGGACTTACTTCAGATGCAAAGAGTAGCAAAGAACTCATCGCTGCATTGCACACTCTACCGCTAACCGACAGGTTGATGAACAAATTGAACAATTTCAGCGGAAAATACACACAAGAATTGTCAGTAACCGTGAGAGAGATCTCATTTTCTTTCAAGAACAAAACAGTACATGTGAAGTGGGGATGCAGGAACAGTGAGCGATGGCAAACGTTGCCGTGGCCGATAGAATAGGGGAATCTTTTGTAGTCTGATCTACGAGAGCGCAAATTAACGAGTGGACGATAAGCACGAGATCGTACATGGCTAAATTGTGAAAATAGCAACTTTAGAGGATTGTAGAGCATAAGAAAGAAAACTGCCACTATGCTGGCGACGACCTAAAGCGGACACAGAAGTGGGTTAAAAGATCAGTGGTGAGTCCGCTAGACACGAGAGGTAGCACAACAAATCGGGAAAATGTCGATAGAACGAGAAGTGGATGGCTGGAAAATTGTCAAAGGGCAATTGCTGGCACAAAAGAAAGCGTCAAAGACGAAAACAGGGTGAAGTGGAGTGGATTTGTCAAATTCGCAAGATTGTACGTCGCATCTCACTGCACTGAGGACGCCACCTCGTATGGTGGTGAAACGTTTGCGACGAAACCGTCAAGCTCGGAAAACAAGTGAACAACTGAAATTCGTGATGAACAGGATTGCTCAGTGCAATCCAACAAGCATGGGTGAATGTACCGGGGTTGGAGAGTAAGGATAGCAAACAAGGAAAATAACAACCGCTAAAGCTTCATGTACCGACACGCCAAGCAGATTGTAACATATGGAGCAAATGAATTGAATATTCACTGTCTCATAACGTTGTTGCCGCGAGCATTGCGTCGAAATGCCAAATCGGCAATGCCCTATGCCTTTAGCCTTGTGAAATGTTTGCGCCGAAACCGTAGTGCGGTCCAACGAACGAGTCACTTGACGAAGTTTAGACTTAATGATATCATCAGCTCGCTAATGTTTCCCGCAAAAGGTATTCGCTGGTTTTTCTGGTATGTTGGCCTTTAACACTGTGAAGTTGAGGAGAGACAAACACGTGCGAGTCGGAAATGTTGTCAGTTGGCCCTAAGATAAAAAGTGAAATTCCCGAGCCCACATGCAATATCCCCTAATCACCATCTTAGAGACTGGTCCGTATATCCGACTGCTCGACGACCGCAACTACTTAGACTTCATCGAGTCCCAGTCGCCGCAGTAACATCAACCACAACGGAAAAATGTAGAGGTTAACTGTCTCGGAAAGAGCTATAAAAATACTGCACAACAGTAATAAGGCGATAGTGAATAAATCCACACAGATTGTTTAGTTCTGCTGAAACAGGGCTACAAATGTGCTGCGTAGACAAGTACTAGCTGGCAGAAGGAGGCAGTGATTACAGGATTCCATTGCACTCCTAACCAAAAGCCACAACACCTATGCGAACTGATCTTTTCCGAAAAGGTAGCGGAATGACGAAGGTAAACATGTAAAAACGTGCAGTCCCAGCGAACAAATAACGAAGGAAGAGACGTAATTTAACTGTGATCGAAAATTTCCAGTCAACTTTGTTGCTATAATGAATGCCAAAACGGTTTCAGTGTGAATAAACGATAGGATAGAGGACGCTAAATTAACGACAGGGGCTACAGAAGACCAAACAATGTTTGGAGACATTGGCCTGGGTCGTGCTTTCCAGATACATCAGTCTAGGTCCGTTTAGTTACTTAAACGGAGTGCGGGGGAATCGGTTACTAGGCCTAAGAAAAAAACAAGTGAGAATAACGAGGGAGAGGCAAATTTGTGAAGAAACAGAAACACCGTGCAGGATGGCGGGGGAAACATATCGGAAGCAAAAGCCTGCCTGTTTTACTCGGTGCTAATATTAGATCGCTACTTGGAAAATCAGAAGACTTCAAAAGTGTCATAAAATGTCGCAAAAATTCTCTCTTGTGCACCATTATGTTGTAGGAAACCTGACTTCACACTGATGATTGCAGTTGTGGAACTTGACGGATTTAGCTCCTTTCATGTTGATAGCCAATGTACATAGAGGAACCGCAGTGTGGGCGTTGCCCTTTGTATTAGTTCCTAATGGTGCACGCCAATTAAAACAATTGTGCAATACAGCTCGCAATGCATCAGCTGTTTAATCGTGAAATGCAAACCAAGATTGCTGAATGGTTATCGTTCGATTTTATCGGCTAATGTTTATGTCTCACTCAGCTGTCCAAGCTAGAAAGGTGAAGAAGTTTACGACGGAGAAGCTGTGGTCCTCGTTGTGTATAGTTGCTGGAGTGATTAACAGATCCGACACCAGCTTCATTGCGATCCTCGGGCTAAAGAACATACTGCACTCTCGAAGCAAGTCAGAGGAAACACTTGACATGGTATTCGTTAACAAGCTGAAAGTGTTTTCTGTTTGTAATCGGGCGCCACTTGGGAGCTCTGATCATGCCATCATAAAGTTATTAACCGTTACCCTTATCAAAATGAACCATAAAGACCTCACCCGTTGCAAAGGTCGAAAGTTCCAGAGCAGACAATGACTCACCCAGAGCATTCAACGACTGCGTGCAATCAATGACTTCAGAGATTTTAGTTTATTCCGATGCGGACGTACCGAAGTATTGTGACCAGTTAACCACCTGTTATCCAAGTGAGACAAACTTTATTCGTGCTGATAAGATCTCGTCTCAACATCTCAAAGGAACGCGTAGGCTTAAAGAAAAAACTTTCAGACGCAAAGACGATACATCAGTAAGGTTTCTATTGATTAATATGAAAATCGAATTGCATCGCTTCAACCAGCCACATTCAAGCCATATGGAGAGTGATGAAACAGTTGGGCGGAGTCACGCGCAAGGTCACGCATTCGATTCCGGATGTCGGAAAACCAAACCTCAATTTTTGTGACCCAGATAGTAGTTCATTCCTAGATATATCTTCCGCTGAGTTACAGCTAAGTTCAGGCAGTCGTCCTTTGTGGACAGCCTATGAGTACACATGGTACTAATGGGGTTGAAGGTGAACAAAGCACCTGGTCCGAATAAGTTGTCTCCTGCGGTTTTGAAGGAGTGTGCAGATTACCTGGCGGAGCCCCTCGACGACTTGTACACACAGTGTTTCAAACAGCACAATATAGCTGACAGTTGTAGAAGCAAAAAGATCACGGCAGTGTCAAAGAAAGTAAGTCGCAAATATCGACCGATCGCCTGCACCTCGGTTACTCTAAAGGCATTTGAGAGGTTTTTCTTAAAAGAATCTCAGCCCAGACACATTTGGATGACGCACATCAGTTTACATATCGCACCTCAAAGTCCACCTTAGATGCAGTAGCATGCCTGGTACAAACTGTGCTCTCGTCACTGCATCTCAGCAACGCTTTCGATTGTGTGAACCGTGAACTATTGTTGCGCGATATATTATGTTCTGTTCAAAATTCTGGTTCTTTCGTTGAAATATTATTTTACCAGACGAGCCAAGTACACCAGGTTAATGAGAAATAACTCTTCGTCACTCACCAAGAATGTTGGTGTTCTTCGGAGAGCCATTTTGTCCCCATTCTTGATTTCCACTTATGTTACCTCAATCCTCGTACCTGAAGAAGCCATCCTGCTGAAGTATGCGGACGATGTAATCCTTGGCATCCATCGTCCTAGCAATGAGTTATCGGCCAAACTACAAACCAACATGCACAAGCTCATAGCTTGATCCAAATCCCGCTGCCCAATGTTAAACAACGTAAAATTCAAGGATGTCCATTTTTCGCTTGGTAAAAGAAGACTCTTACTCTGGTACACGTCTCAGATCTTCCGTACCCCGTCTTTTGATTCAGCATTTTCTCACTGCAAGTGTGTTACTCTACGAGATCTATTGCTCTTCAGTTATCTTTCCTGATCTCCTGAGTAAGAACCTTAAACTAATTGCCAGATCAGTGAAGTATCTATCCCGGTGTAGTGGAATTTCAAGGATGGAAATTGTCAACATCATAGTAGCCAGCCATGTCAACTCCTGTAACAAGTTTGCATATAAAATACTCGCTGGTGTCAGGCACTCGTTCTGCAGAGCGTTGCCTGAAAAAATATCAACCATTTTGACCAGTAAAAGGTACGCCCGCATAAGAGCTTATCGTACATCAGTAGTTCCTTGTCTGTCATGATTTTTAAACGAAAAAATGCAGGCACTCAAGAACTGTGCAGTACAGTATTCCATTGATATTAGCTCTGTCAAGTTTATTAGCGATTGTGGTTTCATATCTGTCCTCATGTGTTATTGGTTTTAATGATCTAACCCTGTCCATGATGTGTGTATGTTAGAGCTGTATACTCACCTTCATGGGTGCATAGAGCACATTCTTGTCTTGACTTGACCGAAAGTCAAGACAAAATCCTTGGGCAGAAAGGCTAACGATGCAATGGGTTTTGATGTAATTTTATTGAGAGTTTATCACAGTAGGTCCCAAGTCAGATAGTCCACCACCACCAATCCGGAAAAGTAATAGACGGACGTTTCATTCTACGCTGTGAATCGTCATTGGTGAGCAACATTTTCTGATTCCATCAGGAGTCCGGAACTAACGACACTAGTGACATCCGTCACTAGTCAGTGGTTTTTGCCACGGTAGAGACCCGTCATGAGTTACAAGCTAATTGCGATACATCGCGACTCATTTTCGACGGGAATGCAAAAGACGAACTTCGCACAAAGCAGGGCTGGCCCCCTATAATCACGATTCCCACAACAGCAGTAGTCATGCGCGACAAAGAATTCAGAACCTGTTAGGGCGAATGTCTAGAGTATTCATAAACGAGGGTGTTGAATCCACGACTGTGAAAATAAGCATGAAGTTGCCAGAAACCGATATGGTCAATCTCGAAACTATCGTTCAGGGAGACAACAAATCTCAGACCGACCAACTATGCCGTTTGGTCACCCTTCTTACACTCCTTCCCATATCACCGGATAGCCATGATGCAATTTGATCCAACTGCGTGCACAGTGCCGGCCTGCGTTCAGGGATTGGAAGCTGTACTGAATTGAACTTTTAAGGATGTTCAGGGATCTCCAATGACAAAAAGACTTTCATAAAAGCACAATCGAGAATTCGGCACGGAAAGAAGGATAAGATTTACAAGTTGGGTAGAATCAAGAGCGATAAAAAGAAAGGAAACAAAGGCATGGGAGCCTCTATATTCAAGACGATGGTACGTACTGAACTAAATCGGACCAAAGGTGCGGCCGGTCTCCAGGTCCCAGTTAGAACGACAGCGCGCAACAACCTCGCTCAGTTCTGAGAGCAGTTTTATAACGCCCATTTGACATCGGGGCACGTGGTTAATCAGACGTGGGACAAGCAAGGTGCAACGCAGCTCGCTAACACACATACCTAGAGTGTTGGCTGCCAAGCATATAAAACAGATGAGTCAATTGCGTAGGAGCGGCTCGAGTTCAGTGTGGCATTAGGGAGCTTGTTGTCAAAAATAACACTCGAAGATCAGTGTTTGCTATGCAACAGATGACCTTGTCAGATGCCAAAAACGCTCCGTTGGGAAATAGTGGGTGAAGAGGCGTATTCTTTGAAAGTAACTAAAACGTAGTCTTGAGTAATTAGCATATCTCCCAGCTATATCAGTTAAAACCTGCAGTGGCCCAGCACGAAGGAGTATTGCATAGTTTGCAGCTTACTGGTTTGGGACCACAAAACCGTTGGGTGATAGCAAACCAGTGAGCAATCCCAAAACGCCCGTGCTCTGTACCAAACCAAACTAATATTGACCAACCGTGACTGCGTTTTAGAGGAAGACAGTGAGAAAACATTCCCAATTCCGATGAGGATGCTGAGGTCAGTTGAATTACGACTGTTGGACAGAGTGCAGACAGTTAGAAAGTATAATTCAGTGTAGTACACAAGCCATCGCATCACACCAATACCCAGCTCCGTCGAAATAAATTTAGACAAGAAAAAAGCAAGTACGGTATATGTATCTAAAAATTGTCGGAGCAAACCACCTGAAATGGCCGGTCCGCTCGCAACTGGTATCAAAGATCCGACTACGTAACCCAAAAGTAGACAAATGCAATTTTATCCGCCGAGGATAAAAAACCAGGAAATGTCAGAAGCGGAAGTTGGCCCTTCGAACCACAATGGGATACACAACACTCAACTACTCACCTGTGTTTGGCCCGCACAGCCAAGTCTTCGTGTTCATCTATCATGGTAGCCTCATGGATGAGCAGATCGCAATGCTTTCCACCCTCCACTAGATCGGGACATTCGGGTGTGTCCCCGGAATAGACGAGGCTCCAATGATGAGAACCATCACCGGTGTGATCAGGGGATGAAATTCGTTGACCGCGGAGTAAATAGGCCCATGAAGAGCCTGTGTGCGGAACCTTGATTGGATGAACCTAAAAGAAGACGCAATGACGAATTGGGGACGAGACAAAGACGCAAAGATTATACACAAGAAAAAAGGCAATCGCAGCATCGAAAAATATGGGTAATAATGATGGTGCACTAGGGCTAGGGATCGATGGAGGTTCCTCGTTCGGCGCCTATATTCCATGTTGCACAAAGTGTGTAATATGTTATGTCCATTAGTGTCCGATGAGAGGAGCGGCCGCACATGATGGTTTAAATGGGGAAAAACAGGATAAATGGCGCTGGTGTGAATGAGCTTAGACGAACACTCATGTAAGTGTCTGACCATGTGTCTTGAGATAGCTGTTGAACAGGAAGAGTTAGTGCACTGGAACTAGTTGAGATCAGGCCTGCGCAGGAGGTCATACTCCTTTGGGTTCACAAGAGAAATGAGATATGCCTGTAGATGAGCGGTTTTAATCCACAGTTAATTGTTGGGACCACATGTTTGGGTGCTGGCGTGACAAAAATAAATCCAACAATTGTCCGTAAACTCTAAGATGCAAGTGTTCAGAAGATGAATAAGGGAAGCGACTCAAAAAAGGGTTTGTACTGGAAGATCATGGAATGTGATCACACACTATCCGTTCACGAAATCAGTACAGAGCCGCACGCACACAGGAGCAAAGATAATTCTACATCCGTGGTTTGAGAGGTTCTCAAGAGCGGACAACTGTTTGGCGAACGAATCACTTATTTTCACTTATACGGGTCACCCATAGCACAAAAATATGCCAAAGCTTTGACTCTAATGAGATCCAAAAAACATTGAAGAGAAAAAGGTGATAATCGAGGGGCCCGGTGGGGTCGGTTGATGTCGTCACGGTACAAGCGTGAAAATGTTATCCACTAGCCCAACTTAAACTTTGTAGATGGTTCGCAGATAGATCCAAAATGAAAAATTAGAACAAATGGAGGAGGTAAAGAAACGGTGTTCTCGAACAGGAAGCCAGTAAAGTGCACGCTTTCTTAACTTGTTGGCAATTTCTCGGCTGTGTAGAGGAGGAAACGTTTCACTGCAATAGTAGGTACGGTAATGAGGTGTAATTACGTGCAAAGATTAGAAAAAGGTAGCATATTTGTAAGCGACCGGAAAGCTTTGAACAGCTGACTTTTCCTCATCATGCGTTTGTATCCAGTCTTGCAGTCTACGAAGTTAGATGAAAGACAGTGAAAAAACAAACACTTTCAAAGTGTGGAAGAGGCCACACGTACAGGATGGTTGACGGATAAGTGTTATTACCCAGTGGGGAGCCTGTCTATAGTGCCGGATCAGATCAAAGAGTGCATCAGGTGAGAGAAAACAAAGTGTTAGTATCACACAGTCCAGCGCAAAAAATGAGACGCGAGATTGGGGAATAAACGCCGATCCAGACGAATTGGCAGTGCTTATCTCTTGCACCCAAATTCGGACCAGTACTGTAGGCAAACGTTGGGCACACAAACAGTCAGTCTAGTTTAGTATAACCCACAGACAAATGTGTGTTTGATCTCATACTTTTGGGTATTAACCATTCAACTTAACATTTCTGCCATCAAAGTCCAAAACAGATTGATTTTCCACTCATTTCGAGGTCTTTAACCTTAATTAACAAGAGGGTTAAAAAACGTTACGCTAAACTCAGATACAAGTGAGCATCTTAGCCAAGAACACCTGACGAAGAGGTAAGGTTACGATACCCAGGTAGAAGTAGTCGAGTTGGATAACAAAAACTTAGTGAATGCGACAGACGTGCAGTTTAGGAGAGGATTGTGTTGCTTTAATTCCCAAATACGAGACCAGTAGGATTGGAAAGATTTCCAACCTAACGAGTGCGTAATATGCCTGAGAATTCATAAGGTAATGAAAAGACATTGAGCCGAATTGAGGGCATCTGAGTAGTTCGTTTAAATTTGCATATTGGTACAAGTGTCTGGTCCGGTGCAAAAACTGAAGTTCGCGCGGTATAATTTCGTCACATGTTTGGTGAAGCGATGTTGACCCTGTCGTTGTAGATGCCGTAGGTGAACTATCTTATGAAACAGTGGAAACCACTAGTCCATCAGATTCAAAACCGACCAATTTCACTACGACCGATTCGAATCGCATGAAATGAACGTCGGGAGTTTGTAACAAAACGCTCCTCAACAGAATGAAATGTCACACCAAAGCGTGGTTACGCTGACTGTGCATAAAGAAACTGCCAGCGCATGATAAAGTAAAGTAACAGATAATATCAATCGGAAAACTGAGCGCGTTCAGTATTGAGAAATGTAAAATTGATCACAACCCAGCGAGTCCGTTATGTTGGGCAATGCTAATCCGAGGAGACGTAAACACAAACCGACACACGGTAATATTGACATCTCAGGTCAACTGAGTGAGGCAGGACAGTCGGGTAAACATGTTTCCGAGTCATACATCCAGCTACATTCGCAGAAACAACAGATAGGGAGAACCGATGGGCGAGATTACGAAACAAAGAAAATAAACCGGTATTCACCTCCAGTTCTAATCGTTTCAGTAGTGAGCTCCACTCTGTGGCAAGCGGACTGTTGGATTTAATCGGACATATCGGGGTCGGGGATGGGGATTCGTACAAATAAGGCACTATGTACAAATTGACAAAGGGGTGGTGGGAGTACAGCTCATGAAACCGCGTCATCCAGCGAGAGAAAGCTGGAGGAGCAAGAACGGGCAGTGACAAAAATGACAGGTTAGAAGACGGAGTCTCCGAATTCTGCTGAAGAAGGCGAGCGCGGGAAATGGCCACAGAGAGGACGCCCTGAAAAATGAGGAAACAAAAGTGTAGGGAATTTGTGGCTGAAGCAGTGTAACACAAGTGAAAATCGAGGGGAGTCAGAGTGAAATAAAACACATATGTGCCGAGTGTTATAACCCGGCTCCGAGAATAGCGGGCAGTACATGAAACAGTTGGAATGAAGCAGAAATTTGAAGTTGCTCTGGTGTAAATAGCTCCACAAATGATGCCGTTTTCCGTGTACTATTAGGGTAGTAAAATGCGAAATTTTGTGGGGACCGAATAGCATTTTGACCGTTAGGGCAATAAGTTCAGTGAGCAATATCTGCTGCAGAAGTGAGAATGTGCCGCATTCCGACTAAAGGAACTGGCTACGGCTTTAAATTACTAGACGAAATCTCGACGCAGACTGCGGTGTAAGCTGAGGTAAGCTTACGGCGACTCCGTTTGAGACCGAAGTGTTGAAATTTTCGGTTGCGCACTTCCAAAGCTACAAGTCACGACCAATTTTAACTTTACGTGCTCTCCCCAAGTAGGGCCGGCCGATTGCAGTGAGAGTGGGGCCATGGATCATTGATCCGAGGAAGCTCTGGTAAACAAACCACCAGAGATTCACTGCGAGGTAATTCATAGTCGCAGATAGGACAGCATGTCACAATCTAGGAACATGGTTGTTCATTCTAAATTACTGTAAAGGGCCGCAATGGAAAAAAGCTAGGTCTAAAAGTTTTGATTTGTATGTGATTTTCCGAATAGGTAGAAATGCTTGTGTTGTGCGACCTCAAACAGCTCAACCCAGCTGAACACATAGTCCGCCATAGTGAGTGAACTTGTTCGTCGTTCAAGATAGCTTACTGGGAGATGTAGTCACAGACAGTGCCTAAAAGACTTACAAAATCACAAACGGACATCAGTACTCTGAGACCAACCGTCGATCTTCTCATCGGAATTCGAAAATCTTAACTGACTTTGGTCGAGGAAGGTGGACTGTCATGTACTAAGCCACACAAGAGTGACTACTTTGAATGGGGATGAAAAATCCCAGAGCGAAGTTAAACCTACGAAGATAGACTCATTGCGAATTCAGTCGGTTGCCTTTAGGTGCTCCGTCACCACCGGTATCGTCCGGAGATAGGTGGTCCTGGTAGCCAAGCACCGAGCAAATCACACCTCAGGGTGCAGGGTTTTGCTGTGCAAGCTCAATTCACATTATTCCTGTGTTTTAATGAGGCGTTTGGAATAATCTACACTGGATAGACGCCGAGTAATCAAAAATAATCATTAGTGAGTGTTCTATAGTGTCACAAAGGCCATAGCCACCGACGCAGTCCCACTCTCGAATATTTTCTTATAATATGGTCATGCGGACAGACGTGACAGAAAAAGGCATGCATCAGCTAGTGTGCATTCACTACTCATGTATCTGAAGTATCGAGTGATGTCAGTTGTCAAAACAGTTACCAGAGACTTGGATGCTCAAAGCGCAGTAAGTAACGCAAGTCGTAAACATAATATATGAAAATACACTGGAAAGGAAACATTACTGTCCAATATAGATAGGAAAAAGTGAAAACTCTCATGGCAAATTCAGCAGTGGCAAACATAACATGAACAGAAAGAAATGTTTACGGAGAAGTGGGATGATGTTTGATGTCCTGAAAACGTTCGTCGCAGCCGGTGCATACTCGGAGAAGTACTGGATGGGCGTTCAGCCTCATAGGGAATCGTCAACCGCGAAACTTCATCAAACCTTATCAAACACAAACTCACGACTTCTCTCATCCAGCTAATTAGCGACGTAAGTTATTAAGTCACGGAGCAGCAGTGATAGGTACTGCATCTACTAAAAAATCTACGTGACGCGCAAATGAAAGTTGGTTGGTCGGGAAGGGGAGCACAAGTGAACCCTTTTGTTACCTTGTGAAAAAAGTCCACTGCAATGAGACTAGGCATTGACGCTGTGAATTCTAAATTCTCGATTCTGAACTATACTACTGCACATTTACCAGTAGTTCAATTTCTTTATAATTTTCCCGTTGGACGGTGTGGTACTCGAGTTTACCCGTTCATGCACAAATGTTCGGCTTTAACAAACTGATAAAACCCTGCAATTTTTCTGCATTTATTATCTTTTTATTTTTGCTTAATTGTTGTGAACTTACGGTTTGCGTCTCATCGGTTGTAATTTGTTTTACTGTGCCAATTTTACGGACTATTCGCCATTTGTGCAGACTTAACTGCTGACGTGGAATAATTGCTGCCCGAAGTAGCGAGTCGCATTACCTATTCGTGAGTTAATTGTATTCATTTTTTGTTTATTACTGCTATTGTAGAACCACGGTTAGTCAGTATACTCATTCCGCCCACTGCCCTGAATTTTAACTGCCCAGACCGTGCGTTACGATTCGATTAGATTCGATTAGATTCGATTAGATTCATACTCTCTGCCATAACAGACGCAATGCCATGATTTACGTAACATTATTAGTTGTACGGTTGTACTGTATAGCTCACCACCACAACTCACAGAGCTACTCATACCAGACTCGGAATAGCTAGACGAACTCGGTCTTCGGTAAAATAATCTGACGATGTGCAAAGGGCAAAATGCCAGCACATAGGCATTGCACCAGATACTTTTAAATAATTTCTTCTGATTCCTAAGAGTATGTTGCGTTTTAAGTAACCTCGTGATTTTGTCGTCAGCATTCTTCGCTGTTAGTAATGTTAAGGATGGAGGTCTGCAATATTCAACTGATCACAGCGAAGTTGACAAAAGAAGTATATGCCATGGAATCAGGTGACACTGTACATTCAATAGGTCCGTTAGAAGAGAAGCTTTTAAGTTTCTTGACTAATCAAACTGATTACGATGTGAAAAAATACTCAACATAAGTAACCCAGGATTTTTAGTGCGAGCACAGCACTCGCGAGTCGGTCATTCCGACATATTGAATTCAAACACAATGGCTAACAGAGGCAGCAAGACAAGCGCTTTTCCAGACGAGAAAGTATGCAGATGAAGCAGTGGCAAAATGCATGAAATCAAAATTCTCTCGAACGATATTACGGTGATAAAAATATAGAAGTAGAAATGCTTTGGAGGGGAAAGAACAGCGGGGTTTTTGCCATGATAGCGCATCAAGAAAAGCGGATCTAATGAGAAATGGGCCTGTAGTTGTTGACGGCGCTGCTCAACGGAATTCGGCACATGGGGTTGTTGGTGTCAGTGGGTAAACATTGTTGCCGAATTGCAAAAAACAACGACGAGTAGCGCCAGAAACGGAAAGAATAGGTGGTTGAGCAGGTGATGAAATATTAAGATGAAGACAATAAATTAAGGTATAAGGGACGCAAAATTTGTTTGAAAGGATGATCAAGATACAAAATCAATGAGAATGAAACGTACCCCGTGGTGATCTGCATGCATGTGAGTCACCAAAATTAGCCGCAATTGCCGCAATATGGAATCGCCTTTCACAGGACCATGCAGGGCGTAAAGCTGATTTAAGCTGCCTTCGCCGCAGTCCAACATGATGTAGTCGTCGGAACTAATTCGATAGGGAAGAGGGAGTGGAAGTTGAGCAGAGAGGTGGATTTATAGGAAAAAATACAAGCAGAAACGAGTACAGTGACTATCAAGAACGACAGTGCGAATTGGCCAGTAGCGAATACCGGTGGCCCAATGGAAAGGTGAAGCATTGGGCTTACAATTCAGGGAATAACTGTTGTAGGAAACAAAGATCAGTAACGAATACGATGGCACAAAACCGGACACAGAGCTAATGGAGATCATAAAAAGCAAGTTATTTTATGCATTATGTAGATCTAGATGCATGATTACGCGGACAGTCGTGTTACATGGAAGTGGATTGTTGCCTGACACTAAGAGTAGTACAGAATGATTTATTCACTGGTCGGAAATTCGTCAGTGAGATGCTCTTTCGTGAGTATGGTAAACTCATGTTAAAGCTTGCAACTGAATAACAGCAGGCATGTTGGATGCGAAAGCACATTAACTTCATGTATCTAAATATATGGAAACGATAAGGTGGTGAAGTTTAGCACTATGGCGTATATTTGGACCCTTACTGCAAAATACGGACAGAAATGTTCAAACAGCATTGGAGAATTCCATTATGTTGTCACGGCAACATAGATTGCCTAGTTGAGCGCTTAAATGAGGGTCTAGGGTTGGCCTAAAAATCATGCAAATTCACCACCGAAACTACTTGGACGATGAGAAAATGGCCTGTTGAAACGGCTGTGAAAAGGTGATCAAAATCTGCCAACGAAGATTATTGTTTAAATTTCCTTACTACTTTCAACCAAACAGTAATATATAAAAATATACACTAATGTGGGGTGCAGCAGTGTTAATGGCCATGGTTTGTCTTCATCACACAAGCCCCTAAGCCAATTCTGTGATATGCAACAACGGTGCGAATAGCACAGGAACGCGACTTAGAAAAAGACAGGATGCACCGGAATGAGCTTTAAGAGGAGAGGTTTGGTGAAGAGAACGTGAGGTGGAAAGTGTTGCGGCTCTAGAGAACAATTACCCAAGAAGCGAGCGAGGAAACAAAAATGTTGCATGGCACGTAACCAAAAACTACCGCCTTAGAATGACCATAGCCCAAGTGATAAAAAACGAACTATGGTTACATGTAAAAGCATCGCCCAGAAAATGGGTGGGCTTAGTTCTTCAAACGGAAAAAAGAACACCCGAAATAAGTTAGTGAAATGGAAAACTTGACAAAATCCCGACAGAGCAAAGCACAAGTCACGACGGCTAGAAGACTGCATAAACGCAGGATAAAGGCATTAATAATATTGAAAAAGCGATGAGGAAGAATGCCCTATCTATGGAAGGTAGTTCCGACTTACTTCAGCTGGATGAGGATGCAACTTATATTGCGGTACTTGTTCGGGGAAGATGAGCCGGTACCCAAGAAAGTGATCTCGGGGTAAGTTTCTAGGGAGAAGTGAGGAAAGAGAAATAGGTAAAATGTAGGGGAATCGCATTCAACAGGTAAAGTTTTTCAAGTGACCAAATGACACAAACAGATGAGAAAAAAAGGAAAGAATCACACAACGCGTAGATGAAGAAGACAAGGGAAAGACACAAAAGACGTCTAGGACGCATGTCAGATGGACAGAAGCCGGTAAAACAAGGCGAATACACAGATAAGAGGGTTGCGAAAGTGCTGATAGTCAAAGAATTGAGCTCTATACTCCTGTTGAAAGTGATGCAGCAATTTTAAGCCGCCATAGAGGAGCAATTATGTTGCAGTATATGTATGTACGAGGCCAAGGAGAATACGAGAAGTATACAGAAACCATATAATTTTGCTGAAATATTGCATTTTATTGCGCTTTCAAAAGTATTGTGGACAAATGAGTGCATGATATACACTTGTGTTTAGTTTGGTAGATACACGAGTGATGGTTAGTATTGTGGAGACCAAATGGAATGAACATTCACTGATCCGCTCACCCACAGCTGTAGGTTCGCCAGGAGAGCAGAGTTCTGTGTCATCTAAGAACTACACAAACTGTGCGGAAATCGCAGATATGATCGAAGAAACGTGGCAGAGTTGATGGCTTCTAAATGAGTCGCCCGAGCGTTCATAAAATGTACATGATCAAAAAAAGTGGACTGGAGAGTGGCTTAAAGCTAAAACAGCACTTAGTGTAAGAGCAATCTAATGAAACCGGATGGCAATGACTGATGACATTCTACTGACGTGAAAAGCACAGAGCAGAACCAATCGATCGAAAGAAGTGCAAACACTGCCACGACCAGCGAGTAGGTACGCCACGTAAGATTCCTTATGGTCTGTTTAAGTACGTCAATGTATCAAACTAGTTTAGAAATAACAAGTTGGAAATACACAGATGAGGACAGTTTGCAGTAACATGATTTACCAATCAACGTGTTGGTTATATCTAAGGGATGGCATTTTCGTTTCAAGGTTAACGTATAGATGTAGCGCCGAAGCTGGGAGTAGTATCGAACAGAGAAAACATTCAATAGAGGGTTGATGAAGGAAGCACATGAAAACGATCAATACAGACAACCGGAATTGGTCGTGAAGGTAACACGTGGACACATCCGTACACATGTTGGTAAATTACGTCATGGGTAAATAAAAATCAAATGTCAATTAATATTGAGACAATGCAACCGTTCGTGAAAAATAAAAATCTCGGGATAAAAATGCAGCACAGTCTGAGTAGGGCAATAGACCAAGCATACGATCGAACAGACAAGTGGAAAGACAACAGATCGCAGGGATACAAGGAAAGCGAGTATGCGTGCCTGTGCCTGCTCGGTGTAGCGACTGGGATGTTGAACGAGCGGTTCAATGAGACCGGATATAATCACTACAGATACAATGCTCACTGCCCTAGATTGATAATGAAGCCAGTTCATGCGCTGAAGAAGCTAACTGATTATCCAGGTATTGATTAAGGTCTCAGTGTAAAAAGTGCACATGGGTTTAACAATGAGGTGCATGAGAATATGGAAGTGACTACCTGTGGTTACATACAGTAGTGTTCAGGCGTTTGGAAAACGCCTACACAGTACGATTGCCTAGACCAAGTAGACATTATGTGATTTATGTTTAATCTGAGCGGTAACGCGTTGCATAAATGTGGAGTGCTACACAATTTGTGGCTGCACTATAAAGTATCAATAAGCGACTTGGTTATCCGGTGCCAATCATTAGATAGAAAAGTTGCCGGTGAGATGTCACTAAAGTGTCAAATAGGTGCAAGAGTGAATGCTGGATTAATCGTGTATCTTTGCTTTACCTGAGCTACACCGATCTGATTTACCTCATTAAAAATTTTTTCCACCGGTCTTGGTCCTCTCGTATGGGGTTCTCAATTAAGATTCACGTGAGTGACTACAATTTGGTGTTTCCCTTTAACCGATCTCCGTAATGGCATACCATCTGTTGCTTCAATGTCCATCGGTTTCCAGATTCGTGGTTATCCTAGGTGTCCAAAGTCTGGCCCGCGGGCCAAAGGAGGCCCGCGTTAACATTCCAGCGGGCCCGCAACCTCATCAGGAAATAATAAATGGTAGCTTGGATTTTTTTCTGTACATACGACACTAAATAGGTTACAAAAATATCGACATGATGAGTAAAAGGTTTCACGGCGTCAGATGCTGGAAAAATCTAAGTAGCAGTTTTGCATAATTGGAAATTTCATCTGGAACTTGCTAACAGTTGGCAGTTGGATCGTGCTCTCCGATCATTCAAATGACCTCTCATCTTGTTTTCAAGGACTGCTCGTGCACCGAACTATGTCCTCGAGAGACTCGGATATTATGAGCACCCTCATATTCCCTCCATGTACTTATTCTCTGTACGCTCACACTCTAGTACAGTGGTTCACCTTCATTCCCTCACCGACGATATTTGACATTTAGGTTCGTAACATCGGTAACAGACGCTCCATGCACTAGGTATGATGTCGCTATCAACATAGCTACCACTACTTCTAAGTGATGCTCACGTCATCAAACTGTCCAATCAGTTTACTTGTATGTGTGCACGTTGTTAGCAGCACTCTGTAATCGGACCATCAGTTATTTGCCAGTGCCCCTGCTAATATTTTCACACGTCTATCGTGTCTTGACATGTCCTCCGGCTGTCAGGCTTGAAGAGCAATTTCCTTCCTGTTGTGCCATTGTAAGTCGTCGATGATATACCGGGACCCTGAAAAAGTGAGGTTTGCCCAACTTTGCTTAAACTAGTACCCTAGCTACTGCGATACAGACATGCTTTATTTTTGGGATAATTGGATTCGCGTCATTCAACAATCAATGATAGAGAATTGTTTATTCCTAATCAGTTAAGAAGAGTCAATCTAGTGCTTTCACTAAAGGAGCCTTAATTAAATGAAAAAATAAGAAAGATGGGTTCGTTAGCTTTTTACATATACCACTAGCTAAGGCTATCCCGTTCTGAGAACGGGATTTTTGTATTAGAGGTTATCTCAGTCTCTAAATTGTCATTGTGCTATGTTACTTTAAAGTACTTCGTTAGGCATAGCAGTTTCACCTTACTGATCATTTAATTACACAAAAGAAGCAAAATTATCCTACATTTTCACAGTTCCTACGATACAGGGGTTTGAACAAAACTTAGAAAAATAAAAAGAGATTCATTAAGCTTTACTTTAGGATTTGCATTCCTGTTCTAGAATGGAGAAGATAACTAAGAAAAGAAAATGCAATGATCAAGAGTGTCGCTTCCAAGAAAAGTGGAGATGATTATTTTCTTCCCTGACCTAGTGTACAAGTGTGTGCTTTATTTGGTTGTAGAGTCGGGCTGTTTTCAGGGAATTCAACATCAAGAAGCACTATCAAAAGAAACATGTTAACTACGACAAGTTGACTGCAAATGAACGAGCTGAGAAAATGAAGCAACTGGAAGCTAGAATATCCTCACAGCAAAGGTTGTTTGCAAGACTCGGTCAGTGGAATGAAAATACGACAAACCAAGTTATGGGGTGGCAAAACTAATAGCGAAACACTGCAAATGAAGGTGCATTTGTCAAAAAAAGTGTAATGAAAACTGTGGAAAGCATCTGTTCCGATAAGAAGCAAGAGTTTTCCAACGTTTGTCTAGCACACAACACTGCGGTTCGCAGAATTTCCCCTGATATTAGGAGACAATTAAAAGCAAAAGAAGCGTAATTTGACTTTTTTCGATAAACTGTGATGAAAGCACCGAGGCATGCGACAGTGCCCAGCTTCGCATATTTCTGAAAGGAGTGAACGATGACGTGTGTGAGTGAGGAATTACTTGGCCTTCAGTATTAAGGACCAAACAAGAAGAATAAATTTATTTGTTACTGTTCAATCAATGACATTGAACTAACATGGAAAAAATCTCTGGTATTATTACAGACGCTGTCCCAGCCATGACTGGTGAGCACAGTGGAGTAACAACACTTGTCTGTAATAAACTCAGGGAAGAGGGGAACGAAGCCATAAAACTACAATGTGTCATACAACAACAAGTTATTTGTGCCAAACATCTTGGGTGTGTTTATGTTATGAAGTCAGTGATAAAACCTATCAACAATCTTCGCTCTAGCGCCCTGTTTCAGCAGTTCCCCACTCGACATCCAGGGTGAATACGGATATGCTGTGTATCACAATGATGTAGGATGCCTCAGTCGAGGGACTGCACTTCATCGCTTTTACTCTCTTAGAAAAGAAATTGGACAATCGATACCAGAACTGTCTGATCCTGTTCGGCTGGCCGATTTTGAATTTTCGGTTGCGATTACACGGCACCAGAACATGTTGAACATGAGATTTCAGGGTCAAAATACAATGGTAAGCCAATTGTATACACATCAAAACCTTCAGGAATAAACTGCGACTTTTCCAAAGACAACTGTCTCAAACGCAGCTTACTACCACCACACATTTTCCGTCACTACAGGAAATCGTGACAAGTCTTCCAGATAGCAATATCAATAACACAAATGCAGAACTATGTCGCAGATATAGTATCCCTGGCTGATGAGTTTCAAAGGCTCTTTCAGGACTTCGTAACCAATGAAAAGGAGATGGGGCTTTCTTCCACCTTTCTCAGTGGACCCTGACAATGCTCCAGGCCACCTGCAATTGGACCTCATTGAGTTGCGCAAATTGACGTTGAATGTTGCAGTCGGCACCAACAGCTCCCTCTCTCCTCCTGGATTGTTAGCGCCAGCTGGATAAAGGCAGATTCCAAGAGGCTAGGACATTTGCTAAGAAAATGCTCAGCTTGTTTGGCTCGACATACTTAAGTGACCAAGCATTCACAAATTTGTATTTGAACAAGAATCGTGTGAGGACGAGGGTAAGTGATTTTCACCTACGTGATATCTTGCATATCAAAACCAGGGTCATTGAGCCTGACCTAACCAGTATACTGGTTAGGTAAAAAGAACTCAGTTTCA